ACATTACATTTGTTCTACGTTTCTCAAAGTACTATTTATGCTTATCAGTACTTCAAAACAAAATTATGGTAGTTATTATGTTCATTACTAGATACTGTTATGTAATGTGTTAATAAGGAAGCACATGTTATCAAATCACAGTATTTAAAAAAAAATTAAACCACATTTCAGTATAATAAATTTGTTATAATCTTGTACATTTAATTTAATGCATTTATTAAAAACTATATTATTCTCTTAAGGGAGCCACAGGGTACATCCAGGTGCCAAAGAGACCCAAAGCACAAAACGTTTGAGAATGCCTGTGCTAGTAGTTTTGGAATGAGAATCTATGGAGAAGGGAAGGGATTGGGCTGACATGCTGGGTGTTTTCGTATTTGTTATCTTACCGACAGAAATGATATAGAGACTTCTGCGATTGAAGAACTGGAGTCTCGAGGACAAAAAGTGAAGTTGAGTTTGGGCATATAATGGGGGGGGGAGTTAGAGTAAGTTGGGCAATTTTTCCATGAAAAAATAAGCAAGTAGCCAAAGGTAGTCACTATAGGTCAGTAAGCAGGAGAGTAGTGTCTGAGGCTACTGCTTTTGAATGCTGGAAGCAGACTAGCTACAAGCTGGGCACAGGGAAGAAAGAGAGCAGAAGAAGGCATCCAGAGGGGTAATGGCCTGAGACTGGCAGACAATACGGGTCCTAAAAGATGTGAACCCGGTCCACACCACTTTCCCTGCAAACCTAGTCAGGAGCAGGCAATAGCTGCAAGTCTTTCTTTTAGAATGCTGGCCTCAGAGAAGTGAGATGATTGAGAAGTGGCCCAGGATGGAAGGATGATGCTGCATGAAGTTGCGGGGTGGGGGTGGGGGGGCTGTTTTAAAGATCCCAAGACAGCAAGAGTAAAGAAGCGGTGTTTTTTTTAAATGCCAGTTTATTTTTTTATACTATATATACATAATTTTTTTAACATTTTATTTTTTTATTTCCCCCCTCCCTTTTGGTAACCACTAGTCCAATGTCCATATCCATGAGTCTCTGTTTGTCCTGTTCATTTGTTGCTTTTAGGTTTATACCTCACATATGTGACATCATGTGATTTTCAACCTTTCTGTCTGGCTTGTTTCACTTAGTATGATTATTTCAAGGTCCATCCATGTTGTTGCAAATGGCAGTATTTCATCTCTTCTTATGGCTGAGTAATATTTCATTGTATATATGTACCACAGCTTCTTTAGTCAATCATCTGTCATAGGACACTTCGGTTGCTTCCATGTCCTGGCCACTGTGAATAATGCAAGAAGAAATGTTTTTCCAAATCCTTCTATTTCCTATTCCACTCCACCCCAAACCACCCCCAGCACCTCCTGCAGTTAGAAAACAATAATAGAAGCCAAGGTAAAATAGTCCTGAGAAACCAGCCACATCAGAAAAGGTTTCTGCTATTAAGGCCAGATGGCCTTGACCTGCGGTTCTTCGTACATTAACCCACAGCAGTGGTTCTCAAAGTCCAGTCACCATACCACAGGCATAGACATTCAGCACCAGCATTAGCTGGTAAATTGTCAGAAGCAAATTATTGGGCCTCACCCTAGTCACACAGCTAGCAAATAGTCAACTGAGTCAGCATATCCATCTACACCTTTTAATCCCAAATAAGCCACTCTTTTGTTAGCTGTGGCTAAGCAAATGCCCTTAACTAGGTGCAGGAGTGTTGTGGGGGAGGGGAGGGAGAAATATTTTCCTTTGTAAATGAGTCTACAATTCCTAAATTTTTCCATCCAGGTACTTCTACATGATTGCGATTTAGACATGTTTTCCAGCTATACTTCCACAGGATACCTTTCTTTGTGGATGGTCTCTTCATGCAGGCCTCCCTTTGCTGAAAAAGGATCAGAGTTAGAAGAGGGTGAGGGCCTGGGACACTGTTCCATCTCAACAGGACTCTCCTCAGAGAGGTTGGGTCCAGCAGGGTGCTGCCCATGTAGTACTGCTGTACTGTGAGGGACTCCCTCCGGAGCTAGGGGATCAGAAAAGGCCTCTTGGAAGTGATGCAGGACAGGGAAAATTCCCCCAATTGGGAGGAGACCAAGCCTTACATCAAGAGAAGAGGGTTCTTTGGTGGAGAGTGTAGAAAGAATTCAACACATGAGCCAAAGTTTGAGTCAAAAGGAAAGTTTATTGGAGAATGTATACATTCCGTATACAGAGTGTGGTCTCCTCTCAGAGGCAGAGAGTAAGAGATCCCAAGAGAGACTCAGAGGGACAGAGACAATAGAGATGAGGGCAGTTAGAGTAAAGGCACTGAGATGGCCAAGAAAGAGACATGGAGAGGGACCCCAATTGTTCGGGGAATACAGTTTATATGTCACTCTTTAGTTTCTGTGAGTTACAGTTTAAAGACTTTGTTTATCCATTTCCTTTAATATGGACATACAGTGAGGAAGAGGAAGAGTCTGTAGCACAAAAAAAAAAAAGAAAAGAAAAGAACATGTAGTGTGAGAGGCCTGCTGGTAGTTTCCAGCCTTTAATCCATAGGTTCCTATGGTTTTATTTGTGGAGGGCAGCTATTTAAAGACTGTTTTTCCTGTTCCCCTTTCATAGGTGTGGGAAATGGGTTGTTAGCAATCCTAGCAGAAATCTTCCTTTATTCTGCAGGTGTCCTCGTGGCCTGGCTACAGAGCTGACCAGCATTTTGCAGTCTAGGTATAGCTTGATTTAATACTTTAGTTCTCTTGCCTCCTCCCTACATTAGAGAGAGTGATTGATCTGGATGTAAAACAAGGGGAAACCAGGAGGGAGGCCAGATCCTCGGAGACTGGTCCAAACCAAAGCCAACTCTGGGGATGTAGTCGGGACAGGACCTCTGGGGTGACTTCAGAGTCACCATGAAATCCTGAGGACCTACTCATTCTCTCTTGTAGCCCTCAGGGCTCTATTGTCAAGATGTGGATTGGAATCACAAGGTTCAGTCTGGTTGGAGCAGACCAGTATATGGGGGCAATGACTGGCTGTTTTTAGGTAGTGGTGGCACTTCTGGGACTTCCAGGGTCACTGAGCTCTCCTTACTCAACTCCAGATTTCTGCCAAAGGAAGGACACACAATACAAAGGGTAATTCAGATGGAGGAGAGGAAGTGAGGAAGGCAGGAGGGGCTGCCCCTCAGGCCACCAGAGGCCTTCACCTTCCCCTGTGCCACTACCTACTCACTAGCAGGAGGGCAGGCCATTTCCTCTCTCTGACCCTGCCTCCCCTCAAAATCCTTCTGAAGACCCACTGGTGACTCCATTTCTGCTTCTCTCACCTTACTGCCACCTTTCATGTGTGTTCCTCCACCCTCTGGTGCCATCTTTCTAAATCCCATTCTAAATCTCTAATATTTACACAGGTCCAAGTTTCACAGTGTTGGAAAACCCTGTTGTTCTTGTTATGATTATTATTATTTGACTAAAAGTCCTTTGAAAACTCCAGAGCAAAAGAAAAAAACTAATGAGCCAAAAGTCACCTCAGTTTGAGTGTATCGTCCCATCTCTCGAGGCTGCTGTACTGAGAGTTTAGCCATATGCAGAGAAACTGAAAATTGTAGTCTGAAAAAAGTAAGCCTTCTCTCTCCGGTGTAAGGTTGTGGCAATTAGAACCATGAGAGTGGCAGTGGCCTTTCCAGTCAGCTACATGGCCCTTAGGTGACTTGAAACCCAAATATCTGTGAATTGGAAATATTAAGATTCCTTCTAAGTTGCCATCAGTTTATGATAAGAACTGCTAACAGGTCAAATCAGCTCTTTTCTGACTCGAGGAAACTGAGTTGTAAAGATGATGTGTAGGTTGCTTAAGGTTACAAACACAGCTACTAATGATGAAAAAGTATAAGAGAATTGCTCTCTTGTCTCCCAGGCAAATGTTCCTGAAAGTATATCCACCTGAAGGAGACTAACTCTTATTTGAACCTCTCAACCTATAGTCTGGACTATAAAACAATTTTGGTGGTTCTTCTCTCCAAGATCATGTCGATCCGTGCTCACTCCAACAATTTATACAGATTATTGAATCTTTTCGACCTCCTACAATCACTGACATCCATTTTGGAAAGGCACCTACAAGATACCACTTTCAAGACTGAGAGAACTGAACCTCAATCCTGAGGTTTAGAAAGGAGGTACATGACGGTCCCAGAGAGATTAAATGTAGCATTAAACATCTCCACTAAGAAGCAGGAAAATTCTTGGGATTGAACAAGAAGAGCAACAAGTCCTGGAGATAGCAGCTTTCGTGGGGGTTGTGACCTTGGATGCTGTATCTGTTAAAGGGAAGGAAAATCTCCTGGACTATAAACTCCCAGAGGGCACAAATTGTTTAGTCTGCATTTCTCATAGCACAATTTAGCACGGTAGTACAGTTAACGGATCCGTGTACATTCGTTGGCTGCATGCTCGTGTAAATAAATTATTTAGGAGGAATAATCCAGTGAATTGAGTAATAACTTTGAGAAGGCTTCCAAAAAGAGAAGTGTTCTCTTTTGTTCTACTCTAAGTACCAGACATCATGTCATAGGCTGATTTTAAGGTGGGGACTGAGAAAGATGTAAAAGATAAAGCTTGCCATAAAGATCCTTTAGTTTAAATATACTAATTTAGTGTTCATAACAGGATAGGATTATTATTTCCATTTTTGCTTAACAGATGATACAACTAATGCTCAGAGAGGTTAGGTCTTTTATCTGAGCTCATACAGCTAGCAAGTGCCTGGGCTCTCCTTTCTGAGCCTGAAGCCCTTGCCTATGCTTTCTCTCCCCACTCCCAGGTATCAGGCTCTCATGGGTCCCTGAGAGATTCCTGCCATGGAATTGCCATTCCTGAAACACCCTCACCCCCACCCCCACCTGTGGGGGGCGGGCCTGGAGCCAGGTGAGGCCAAAATCTCCATTTCAGGGGCTTTCTCTAGAATTCGTCGCTGTGGTTACCTCCAGTAGAATTCGTTTCAAAAAGAGGATTGTTTGACTGCGAGTAAAGCGGTGCCACTCATCATTGAAGGAGGGCAGAATCCAGGGCTGGGGGCCGCGCATCAAGAGGGGAGGGGCCAGGGGGCGGCCCCCTTGTGACCAGCCCTGAGGAGAGGTCAGGAGAGAAGGCTGGCTGAGAAGTGCCTGGACAGCAGCAGCTGCTGACGTTCTGAATCACGCGCCTGGGGCCCAAGGTAACCCAGACCTTTAAACAAGCAGCGGGGCTGGGGGCGCTGAGGGGGCGGGAAGGGGCAGGGACTTTGGGGGTTGAGCCCTGAAGACTGGAGCGGCGAACGCGTGGAGGGCGTGAGGAGTCCGAATTCTTGAAAGAATCATAGGGAATGTGGGTGCTGAAGCAAGAAACGAGGTGTGAGAGGGAACACAAGCACGAAGGAGCATGAGAGGGCGCAAGAGCGTGGCTGAGTGAAAGACTGCGCTTGGAGGTAGGGGCAAAAGGTGGAACACAGCCAGCCCCAGAAGCACAGGTAAGGTGGAAGGGGGACATTTTGTTCCCCTGAGCCCATTTTCTATAGGTGACCCCCTTTCAGCCATTTTTAAGGTAAAATGTTCACCCAAGTGTGTTTTAGGATATAAGGAATGAACGTCAGAGGAAGCTGTACCAAAGTGAGGCTGCGCAAGGCGCAGGAAAGGCAGTCAGAGGGTGGCGCCTTTTTTAAAGAAGATTCCATTTCTTTTCACCCTAAAGCTCAGACTGTACCCCCGCCCCCACCTTTTCCACTCTCCGTCTGCCTCTCTTCCACTCTGCACCACCCCCGTGCGCCCTGGGCACGGTCCGATCGCCTTTAAGCCAGGTAACCGCCTCGGTCTCCACACCAGCTCCGGGAGCCTCTGAATACAGGGGGTGGAGCTCGCAGCGGTCGCGGCTGAGCATAAGGGCCGGTGGGAGGGTCCCGGGGGCGCTAATGGCCCGCCGCGGCCATGACACTGGCCGGATTATTCACAGCAGTCCCTCTCATTTCATCTACAGTCGCAGCTCGATTCCAGACGCCTTTCTCCTCAGACCAGGCGGTGAGCTGATGGCCCAAGTTCCAGAAGCTTCCTTACCCTCTGGCTCTTTGGTCTGCTGGAGCTCGGGAGGTGGGGGAGGAGCCTTGCCTGAGGAGGCGGCTGAGAAGGCGGGGGAAATGGAGGTGGAGGCGGTGGGGACGAAAGTGTGTGTTGGCCTGGAACCTGAGGTGAAGCTGGAGCCATTACAGGATCGGAATCCCGCGCCTGAGAACTTGACGTGGAGCGGCGGCAGCGGCGGCGACGAGAAGGTGCTCCCTTCAACCCCGCCTCGCTGGCCCAGCAGCTCCTCGCCCCTTTGC